TAACAGCCTATGAAGAAATTTAAGAAAACACTTAGGAAGATGTTGGTGAATGAGACCCACTGGCTGTAACAGACCCATGAGGGTTGTCCTTCAACACAGTTGCAATCATTTATAGTACTACAATGACTCCACCTTACAGTGACTTTGTTCACTTGCCATCTGCTACATTTTGTCTACCTCACAGATGAATGACACATCACTGTTTCCTGCCACAATGCAGAAGTGAATCCAAAATAATGGAACTACAGGGGTGGCCATCTTGCTTTTGTGATGCGTTGTGCAAAACCAATACATCACTATTATATCATCAAATAACTTATTAAAACAAACGTATCAGGAAAATGACCACTTGTACAAATCACCTTTGGGAAAAATTTATTTGATTTGTACTTTGCATTTTTAGTTTGGCTCATGACTCATCTGCTAAGGTGAAAGGGACGGAGTTTATGGCTTGTGCTGCAACCAGGCTCCAGGGAGCAATCAACTTGCTGTGACTTCACTACTAGGGAACTGTCATGTTGTCCATGTTTTTACACAGTCTATGGTCTTCCTAAAATTAGCTGTTAACAGAAAATGCAGTGTACAGGCTCATCTTTTCATTGTGACTCTACATCAAATTAGATAAATTTACAGACATGATTTTAACTGATTTAAAGCATTTGTCCTGCATATATTTCCTCTAATGAATGAAACCATCAAATTTGTTTATTTCATTGGGCACTGTGTGTATGATAACAGTGAAGTAATGGACAAATGTTCTCAGTGGTAATAAAATATAATAATACTTACATACTGAAATTAAGGGTGCACTCCACCAATTTTGGTGAGAAAGGTAAATTTACTTGGAGGGGAGTGCTACTCAGCCTGTTGCATTATGGCTCTGACTCTGGAGGAACTTTCTAAAAACCGAGAAAATAACCCAGTGGATGTCATCTTGGTTAGCTCACACTTCATATTTTCAACAGGAAAAGTGTGGGTGTGAAGTTTTGCAAGATGTGGGATATTTACCAGGCAGGGAGGGTATAACATATTTTAGGAACTAAATGCCATGATATCTCTACCTATACATACTATATGATAGAGGACTTCAGTTGTATTTGGCATTAATGTTGGCTGTTTACCAACTGAGCCTGTGGGATAACACTTTATTCCATATAACTGAACTATGGTCAGTAAACTAAATATATATATATGATTAGTTACTTAAACCAGGTGCAGGTTTATTCTGGTAAATATTTTCAGACATTCATTACATTAATTTTGTCTTTATTTAGTTATACCGGGTTAAGGCTGACTTAGCATTTTGTCAATTTCAAGCTTCTAGGAGCCCAAAGTACGAGAAAAATGACAAATCTTTAGTGATAATCATTCAACATATTATCATAGAATAGTTTAAAGTTGTAAATGAAAAAAGGTTTCACAGTAAATCTAATAGATAAAACTATAATACAGTCTATTCATATGCAAGATGATTGTCCCATTTTGTGTTTACTTCATTGAAAGTTTGTTTATGCATTTGTAAATCACAGAACATATTAACAGTTCAAAGTTTTGTCCCATTTTAATTCTTATGGTCTACAGACAAATTTAATACTGTGTGAAAGCCCCACATTTCAACCTGTTTCTCAACTCGCCACCACATGATATATAAATAAAATTACATTGCTATAAATGTTAACTGACTTCACTGATGAAGAGACAGAATAGGGTCTTAAAATAGGGACTAAAGTTTTAAAAGGATACTCTGCAAAATCATTACAGCACCATTTTAATCAATGAGGAAATAACCCTAACCCATTTCAACTGAGAGTATACATTCATAACAGTGAGTGTTCATTTAGGTGCCCCAACAGGAAAGATTCTTTTCCTGTTTGGCCTATCATAAAGAATGAATGACCTACTTTGGGATTCCAGCCCACCGTCTCTGTCTGCATGCTCCATCTTTTCTTTATCACAAATCAGTATGAATGTCATCTTGGCTGTACAAGGAGATAGGCATGTTTGACTTGCACGTCTTGTTCGGTCTTTGAATATTCAGTGAGGTCTGTCCTTTGAAGCTGCTGCAGGGTCTCCTTATGTGAGTGAAGCAGCTTTATTCATAGAAACTTCTGCAAAGTAATTTTTAACCTGTAGGGGAACCACAAAGAACTCGCAGACCTTCTACAGTGGCTCACTTTTTGGAAATTTTTTTTTGACAAAAAAGCCACGTAGTAGTAGAAATGTGCTTTACAAATAGTTGGCCACAAAGATTATTGCATATTTTGATCTTTGAAAATACATTTGTAACACCAGTTTCTCAGATGTTAGTGTAAGCTAACCTATATTGCTATTCTGAGCTCATGTGCAGAGGCTGCTGTTACCATGGCACTGATTGTAAATGCTGTCTCTCAGGGCCACTGGGTTTCTTCTACCATTTGTCTTGGAGATGTCCTGTTTTTATACCGGGGAGCACTGTGTAACCCATAAAATCAACACCCTGGATGATTTTGTGGAGACTGTTCGGCCAGCTGTGTGAAACATCTCATTGTTTCTGCTCTCTGAGGTATTCTGTGGCTCATGTTGTGCCATGTGGGCACATGGGTTTTAAACATAGAAAGAGAGCAGGTGCAGTTGTAGTCCAAAAGCACTGGAGAGGAAACAAACACAAACAACATGCCTTATCCTGCCTTGAAGTGTCCCTTGTCTCCATGGACCTCTGCTGTGCCATCATTCTGTGTTTAGCTCCACACACACAGCAGCCAAACCATGAGCTGAAGCCCCAAATGGTGCTGATCAGTACAGTACCTGCTGCCTCTCAGCCGGCAGGAGTATGGATTCATACTGTGATAAATGGCCAAGCAGCTAGGGGAGATGAAGGGAAGGGTTCCTCTAGACTGTTTTGTTTAATTACCAGTC